AAGGTGAGAAGCAGCAGCTTTTTGCCTCCTTCCATGCCTGTGTGAAGAGAGACAGTGAGAAGGTCCTGACCCATCCCTAGCAGATGTTTGGTGAGCTGAAGGTGTAGGTGCAGTGTCAGGGCACGTGCTCAGCTTCGACCAGCTGGTTTCCTTTGAAGTGGAAGGGGCTGAGGCTCAGCTAAAGCCACACAAGTGCCTGGAGCTGCTGCACACACAGTGCAGGATGGGGATGGATGTGTCTGGATGTGTTCTGAGAGAGTGGCAGGAGCTGGGCCCTTGGAGGAGCCCTGAGATGTGACAGGAAGAGGGATGGATCTGGGCATGGGTGGTGCACACAGCAGCTGAGGGAGAGGCAGTGGCTCTCTGCCAGGCTCAGGGGTGAGCTGAGTACCACAGCAGGCAAAGCACTTTGTGTCTCAAACTGTCTGGGTGCTCTTACTAGCACTTGGATCTGTTCAGCCCCACAGACTCCACCCATCAAGGTGTTGCCTCATTTGACACAGCCTGCTCCAACTCAAAGAGGGCTCTGGCACGTTACTTCATTCATGTCACACCTTCACAACCACAGCAAAGCCGAGAATAACCAGACCCTTACCAAGAAATGATGATAGCTGGTAGAAGAGATGTCAATACTCTCAGTCACAACAGGAAACTTTATTAAACAACAGGAAGCCCATGCTCATGGGTGGACTTACAAAACACCTCACCCTCCTCTCCCCTTGCTCTTTCAGTGCTGCAGAACTGGCAGACAGGGCTCTGACTCTCACCTCCACGCTGAGAAGGGCTGCTGGGCTCAGTCTCACAGCTGCTCCAGCCCTCAAACAGAGGATCTGCTCTGCCCCAAGCCCTACCTGACCCCTTCCTCCATCAAGCACCCTTGACTGCTGACCCAGGCTCAGAAGATGGATGTTCCAGTGCTGAGCTGGCTGGTGAATCGCTCCCTCCTTCTTCCCCTGGACTCTGCTCCACATCCCGAGCTCAGACTCGACCTGTTCGGCACGAAAGCTTCCTGCCTGCAGCTGGCTGCCACGAGGAACGTGAACATCATCCTGCAGCACTACAACTTCTCAGGCAAGCTCACCAACCGGCAGTCTGGGGACGAGGGCATGGGGCTGGTCCGTACCGCCTTCGCCATCATCAGCTGCATCATCATCCTGGAGAACCTGCTGGTGCTGCTGGCCGTGCTGCGCTGCCTGCGGGGCCGGCGTTGGGTCTACTCCTGCATCGCCAGCATCACCCTCAGCGACCTGCTGGCAGGGATCGCCTACCTGTGCAACCTCTGCCTCTCGGGCAGCAGGACCTTCCAGCTCTCCCCGCAGCTCTGGTTCCTGAGGGAGGGCATCCTCTTCATCGCCTTGGCTGCCTCCACCTTCAGCCTGCTGGTGACAGCCGTGGAGCGCTACAGTGCCATGGTGAGGCCGATCGCGGAGAACGAGGCCAGCAAGACCCTGCGCCTGCGTGGCCTCATCGTGTCCTGCTGGCTGCTGGCCCTCGTCATCGGGCTGCTCCCGCTGCTGGGCTGGAACTGCCTCTGTGACTTCCAGGCCTGCTCCGTGCTCCTGCCTCTCTACTCCAAGAACTACATCCTCTTCTCCGTGGTCATGTTCAGCATCATCCTCCTGGGCATCATCGGCCTCTACATCTCCATCTTCCACCTGGTGCAGGCCAGCTCCAAGCAAACCAGCTCCCGGCACGGCCGCAAGCGCTCCCTGCGCTTGCTGAAGACGGTGCTGATGATCCTGGGGGCCTTCATCCTCTGCTGGAGTCCCCTCTTTGTCCTGCTGCTCTTTGATGTTTTCTGCCAGACCGGGGCCTGCACTCACCTGCACAGCCTGGACTGGACCCTGGCTCTGGCCCTGCTGAACTCGGGAGTCAATCCCATCATTTATTCCCTGCGCAGCGTGGAGGTTCGCCGTGCTGTGGGGAGCCTGCTGTGCTGCTGCTGTGTCAGGGCTGGGCTCTGCAAGCCTGGCAGCTGCCTGGTCATCTCAGACATCAACTCTGGCTCCTCCACAGAGAGCTCCCTGCGCTACCGGGACAGCTTCCGCAGCTCCGTGGCCTGGAATGCTCGGCCCAGGGCACCTCTGTCCAGCAACTCCAGCATGATGAGCAATCTCCCCAGCCTGTGAGGGGCCACGGGGAGAGCAGGAGATGCCAGACAGCCCCCAGGACCTCATGGTGCTGGTCCTGGCCTGGCAGGACTGTAGTGACAGGCTGAGCAGAACTGGGGCCAGTCTTTCCAGCCCCATCAGATTGGGATGGTGCTTCAGTGCCTCAGGGACAGGAATTGCTCCTAGGTTGGGAGTGAAAGGTACAGGCACATTTTAGGACTGATGGTCTGCTGGGACAGCTGCAGTGCTCAGGTTCTGTGTGTGTGCTTTGGGTGTGCACAGGTGCTGTACCTGCCCACCTGAGGGTGTTTTGCCCCAGGGCTCAGTGGCAAATAGGGTAAATTTCCCCAGTCAGGTGGCCTTCCCAAGTCTTTGGAATCCTTTTGGACCATCTGTGATGGGCACAGCTGCTGGGAAGGAATGCAAGTTTGATGTTTTGCCCAGCCCGAGGATGGCAGATGGCTGCAGCCACAGCCCAGACCCTCCCCGAGGGGCAGAGGCTGGGCACTGAGCCAGGGTAAATGCTGTGACAGTGCTCAGAGCTGCAGCGACAGGGCTGGCAAAGCACGGGCAGAAGGAGGTGCCTAGAGAGACTGGGGAGCCTGGTGCTTCCTGGGCCTGAAGACATGGCCAGCTTGTGCCTCAGATCCTTGATCTTCTGTTCTCTCATGTAGAGGGAAAAATCAGAGCAGCACCCAAATGCCTCCTCTCACTGTGCCAGAAGGCCACCAAAGCACTGGGGACTCATACAAAACCTGCTGGCCAGCCCCTCTGCAGGGGCTGAGCGTGCAGCCTATTTGTTTTGCAATAAATCAAGGTGATCAGAAAGCCTTGGGCTGATTTGCTTCGATTTTTTCCCTCTGGAGGCCAGGTACAGCCTGGGAGATGCTTTTGTAGTCTGGGTACAGCTGGAGCTGCCCTCCTGTTCATCCCATCCCATCCCATCCCATCCCATCCCATCCCATCCCATCCCATCCCAGTCCTGTTCATCCCATCCCATCCCATCCCATCCCATCCCATCCCATCCCATCCCATCCCA